GAAAGCTAGGGTCAGGGGCTTCCTGGATTCTACAGCAGCCCAGATGTACACCCTGGAGAGATGAATCACTTTTCCTCTCTTTTTAAGTGGACTTAAACACATTAAATTAAATTATTTAATTAATTTCTTATTTATGGGTACCGGGGATTGAACCCAGGGGTGCTTAACCTTGGGCCACATCCCCTGTCCTTTTTATATTTTGTGAGCTGGGGTCTCCCTAAGTTGCTTAGAGCCTCGATAAATTGCTGGAGCTGGCTTTGAACTCGCTATCCTCCTGCCTTAGCCTCCCACAGGAAGATCCTCTGGGAGTAGAGGCGTGTGTCACCATGCTCTGCCTAATTTTCTTTATTTGTGGTAGTACGGATTGAACCCAGGGCATCCCACATGCTAAGCAAGTGCTTTACCATTGAGCTCTACCCCCAGCCCTTTTTATTTTTTATTTTTTTAATTTTGAGACAGGGTCTTACTAAATTGCCCAGGCTGGCCTTGAAATCATGATCCTCCTAGTTCAGCCTCCTGAGCAGTGGGGACTATAGGCGCGCACCACCGTGCCCAGCCTCGGGTGTTGGTGAGACCAGTGCAGCCACTCCAGGACTCTGCTGTGGCACTCCAGTCAGGCAGCTTRAGACTTGAGCCTCGAGTGGAACACCAAATGCTTGATTCTTTTTAAGGCAATCTGTTTCCATTTTTAAAGTTCCTAATTGTTAGAAAGTTCTTTRTACAGTGCTGTGCCAAAAACTTCTGCCCTGACTGTGACCTCCAAAATTGTCCAGGACAAATTCCGATATTTAACAACAGCTCTCAATGCCTCCCACTGTCTCCGAATGACCCTGTTCCCTTCACTGACCTGGATCCTTCTCTCTGGGCAGGAAATTCTCCTGTTTATCAATGAGGAGGGACCTTGATCAAAGTTACAATATGTCCTTTTCATAAAAAATGAGGCCACGTGAACTTTCACGCAGCCTCCTTACCCTCCTTTCATTCAGAGTTGCAGTCACTTGAAATCCTTRAGGGTGTTTTTGTTGTTACTGTCCTAGCGATTAAACACTCTACTACTGAGCTRCTCCCCCAGTCCTGAGGATGTTTGTGAACTCCTGTTAACCCAGAAGGCACCTTTGAATTTCTGAACCCAAATGAAAGTCGTGACATCCTCTCCTGATGCATCTCTTCTGCTACTTTCAAGACAGGACGCCAAAAACTAATAAATAAATAAATAAATATTAAAAAAAGAAAAAGACAGGATGCCCGGTAGCTGAAACTGTCTTCCTGTTGAGCTAAAATTAGTCCTCTCACCACRTCTTCTTCTTTTCAGTTGTAGATGGACACATTACCTTTATTTTATTTATTTTTTGTGTGTGGTGGTGAGGATTGAACCCAGTGCTTCACCTGTGCGAGGCAAGTAGTGCTCCGCCACTGAGCCCCAGCCCCAGCCCCAGTCTTCTCGCCACTTCTGATCCTCATCTGGCGTTCAGCTGTCCCATCAGCCTCCCGACCCTCATGCAGCCTTGCATTTTCTCCCAGTAGATTTCCCTAAGATAAATATATTCCCGCTCATGTAACTCAACTTCCCATCTCTGACCCTGGGGAATACTGGTCTCAGAAACTGGTTTAGGCTGGGCACGGTGGTGCACACCTGTTATCCCAGCAGCTCAGGAGGCTGAGGCAGGAGGATTACAAGTTCAAAGCCAGCCTCAGCAATTTAGAAAGACCCTGTCTCAAAATAATAATAATAATAATAATAAAAAATAAAAATAAGAAGGGCCTGTAATCCCAGCAGCTCAGGAGGCTGAGGCAAAAGGACTGCAAGTTCAAAGCCAGTCCCAGCAAAAGCCAGGTGCTAAGCACTCAGTGAGACCCTGTCTCTAAATAAAATACAAGATGGGGCTGGGGATGTGGCTCGGGGTTAAGCCTTGCTGGGTTCAATCCCTGGTACCAAAGGGGRAAAAAAAGGAAGTTGGCTTAAGCAGTAAGAATCATCAGGAAACTAAATGAAAAGTAAGTGATTGTGTGGTCCAGGCTTCCCATTCTACAGAGAGGAAATCACAAACAGATCGCAGGAAAAGAGTTGCTCAAGTTGGTTAGAACAGCGCAGGACTAGGATCCTGGCCCTTTTCCTCTTCCATCCAGAGTGCATCCTTTTCTATTATGAGAAAGTTCTTTAAGCATCTTGTATCTCAGTTTCATCATCTAGAAAATGGAATTGTGAGGATTAAATGAATTCATGTAGAGAGCTTGAAACAATCTGGAGCTTGGTTAGGACTCCCTAAATGTGAAGTCTAATGCCAGCTGCCTCCTAGTGTAATAGATGGGAATCATCTTCTTTCCTTTTTACTTAAAAGGAACAAGAACCTGTAAATTTTGAAATACATCATTCCTCACACATTAAGAGGAAGTTGTTCTTTCCTACCCAATTGAGGAAGTGCTTTTTTTGCTTGTTTGTTTGTTCTTTGTTTTATTTTTTTGTACTGGGGATCAAATCCTTTATTTTGAGACAGGGTCTCACTAAGTTGCTCAGAGTCTGGCTAAGTTGCTGAGGCTGGCTTTGAACTCCCAATCCTCCTTGCCTCAGCCTCCCAAGCCACTGGGATTACAGGCATGTGCCACCATGCCCAACAGAGAAAGTGTGTATTTTGAGTGGATCTTCCAAGAGGGCAAATTTTGTGRTGAATGATCTATCCCTCTTGACTTCAAGCCCTTCCTTATTGTCCTCTTTTGCTTCTCTAACACATTGGACGAGGAAGTAATAAACAGCCTTGGGTTCAGATCATAGCTTTGCTATTTCCCAGCTGTTAACTTGGAGCCCTGGGGAATCTTAGTTGCTTCATCTGCAAAAGGATAAATACAATCAAACACACTGCAGCTGTAAAAGAATGAGGAAACTATTTATGTACTGATATAAAATGATCCCCAAGATATATAAAAGGAGAAAAGTCAAYTTACTAGCATCTATACAGCTGGGCGCACACCTGTAATCCCAAAGGCTCAGGAGGCTGAGGTCAGAAGATCACAAGCTCAAGGCCAGCCTCAGCAATTTAGTGAGGGCCTATGCAACTAAGACCCAATCTCAAAATGAAAATAAAAAGTGCTAGGATGTAGCTCAGTGGTGAAGCACCCCTGGGTTCAATTTCCAGTACAAAAAAAAAAAAAAAAAGAGAACTTTTTGTTCAGACTTGGGCTGTAAAGTGCTTGTGTAGTACACACAGGGTTCTGAGTTTGAATCTCAGCACTACATACAAACTTTCTGTTGTATGTGTATAAAAATCACTCAGTGCACAAGAAGCCATAATTAATTGGATACTTAGGGTGGGAGTCAGGGAGGAAAATAGGATGGGAACCATTGAATCTTTTTTTTTTTTTTTTTTTTTGGTACTGGGGATTGAACCCAGGGGCACTCAACCAGGGAGCCACATCCCCAGCCCTTTTTTGTGTTTTATTCAAAGACAGGGTCTCCCTAAGTTACTCATTGAATCTTGAACCATGTGAATGTATATTGCCCACTCAAAATTTTTCATTGAAATTTGGAAAGTAAATGAAAGGGGGAAGGAGATAATAGAGGCAACTCAGAGGGATGCAGGAAGTCAAAATTAAACAGTGCACTTGAATTAGCCCTGTTCCTGGCAGAAAACCCCCACCTGCCTTCTCCCTCTAGTCTTCCGACGTCAGCTCTTGCCACCTGGCTGACTTGCCAGACCCTTGCCGTCCCCCTGCAGGCTGATATACTGGCTGACCTTCGCCGTGGGCCGCTCCTTCCGAGGCTTCGGCTACGGCCTGACGTTCCTGCCGCTGCTGGCCATGCTGGTGTGGAACCTCTACTACATGTTCGTGGTGGAGCCAGAGCGCATGCTCACTGCCTCCGAGAGCCGCCTGGACTACCCCGACCACGCCCGCTCCGTCTCCGACTACCGGCCGCGGCCCTGGGGCTGAGCGAGCGGCCCTGCATGCTTTTCTGAACCCAGCTACGGGCCTGGGCTTTGTCCCCAGCCCTGGGACCTTTGTGGGAGGAACCCTGCTGCTGCCCCGTAGGGATATCATTCCATCAGAGCCTGGATTGACCCTTGCTCCCTCTTAGCCGCTGTTGTCCTTCACCTCTGAGGCTTGGCACCGCCATCAAGGAGGGACTTTTCTTGCAGGGAAAGAGGTGGACAGCCTTGTCCCTTGAGGATGCTGAGGACACATGGTCCAGAGGCATGGTTCCTTCCTGAGCAATCTCCTACTGCCATTAGGGCYCCCTAAGGCTGGACTCTGTCCCGCTCCCCAGCTCTGTGAGGCAGGAGGCAGAGCCAGAGCCAAACCCTGACTCTCTCTGTGCCAGCTGGACCATCGGAGGAACTCAAGGAGAACGGAGAAACTGCTGAGCCCAAGGAAGAGGCTGCATCAGACCAAATGAGGACTTTCACATTTGGTGAAATTCTTGGGGTCCTGGGTTTGGGACTGGTCTTAAAGGCTTGTGAGTCTCAAGACTATTCTAGCCTCCCCCATCCAGAGCTACTGCCTCCTCCCTTACAACCTAGGTACACCCCTGTAACTTTCCACCTCCAAACATTCCAGATGTCACACTACCCATGGGAAGAGGGGTCAGGGAAATCTGGCTCCCAAGAGGGGTGTGTGTACCCACATGTGTGGTGGCTGGGGAGTGGTTGGAAGGCACAATGGTTAATGTTAACTCAGTGCAAGTGTTTGTGTATGTGTGTGTGTGAGACAGAGAGAGAGAGAGAGAATAAATTACCACCCCTGCATTGGCTCTTTCTTCCTGTTTGTCCCTCCCCTGCCCAATCCCAGGTATCCTTTCCTTATTTGATTCAGACAGCACCAGAAACCTTCTGGGTCCACCTGGGTACGCAGCTGGCAGGAGCTGTGGTTCCACATGGAGGGAGAGAACCAGGTCTGGTGGAAATGGGGTCTCAAATAAAGTTGTCTTCCAAACCCATCTCTTAGCCCTCCCACTCCCTGAAACCAGCCCCAAGTGAACCCCACAATATCAACRTGCTGAGAGACTGGAACCTTGTAGAAAAAGATAAGTCTTATTTCGTACCCTCCAGGGTCACGCTTAGTTTAACAAAACTTTGAGTGTCAACCAAGAAGTAGGGATGACACAAGTAAACACCACCAAGGGGACCTTTTAGAAATAACCCTGACCCCAACCCCAGGAAGTGGAGGTTCGTTTCTGAAGTTCTGCAGAAAAGTGCCACGGGAGGGGACGGGCCAGCTGGAACATTGGCCCTCCAACCGCCAGCAGTCCGAGGAGGCACGGCAAGGCAGGTCCAGGAGGGTCCTTCCCTCCGGACAGTGGGTCTCAGTTTATGGACTGGTACTCTGAGTGCTGTTTGTGGCGCAACAGCAGGATGAGACCTCCCCCCAGCAACAAGAGCCCTGGAGCACCCAGGGCCACTGCCACGATTCCTAGGATTAGTGGGGACAGAGCATCCACAGGAGGGGAGCCCATACCCAAAAGCATTGACCTAGAGCAAGAAAGTGAGAGAGAAGTTCGTGGGTGAGGAGAGGAGGCCAGGCTGGGAGGCAGCCCTCCTCCACTTCAACACCCCCGCCCCCCGCAGTCCCAGTTCGGGCTCTCACCAGCTCAGGTAGTGTTGGTCCCAGTAGCCAGGGCCCGTGGGAGCCCCAAATGTCAGGTTGAAGGAACAGAAGTTGCTCTGCAACCCGAAGAAGGCTTGGACAATGGGTGACTGGGGAAGGGAGTACACCAAGCTGGCGCGAAGAGGAGAAGCCTGGCAGGGCAGGGCTGACTCTCGGCTCCTCTGCTTCTGGGAGAAAGCCACTGGTCGCCACTGCATGAAGCCAGACGGGAGGGAGCCCCACAGCAGCTGGTCCACCTGAGGAGAAGGGCAAGCAAGGCAGGGTGAAGAGGGGGCCTGTGCCAGACGGACCCTTGTCCTCCCTGCCTCTCTCAGTCTCCATCTGTCACTAGCAAAGAGCGTGCTAGGAGCAGCAGAATCCCAAGTCCTGGGCTCGGTTCTAGAACTGACAGGCTGTCTGCACCAGAGCCCTGGTCTCTCTTCTGAAGGGCACTTGGCTGGATGAGCACCGGGTCCTGTTCCGGCCCTGCAGATGGGCACCAAGCTCCCTCCCCTACAACCCCAGGCCATCTGGGGAGCTTGGGTCACACTGCACTGCCTTTGGCTGTCCCCCTTGAGGGTAGAGACTGAGGGGGATTCAAAGTGCCCAGTACTTAAAGCCTCCAGAGAAWGTTGCCAACTGATAAACAGTTGAACAACTCTGAGGTCCTCACAGGGTCCTGCCTGCTTTCCCACCCATCTGCCTCTTCCTTGGAAGTCTGACCTGGAAGACAGCAGGTGCGTACTCATCGTCGATGGAGTGCTGCTCCCGCATTGAGGGACAGTCGGGCCTGTGCCCCACAGTGACTACTTCCAGCCCAAACACGGAGTGGTTTCCTCGGGGAGAAGCCCCAACCAGGGCCACTTCTAGCTGGCAGGTGTCCGCGGTGTGCAGGAGGCGAGGGGGTTGGGCAGGTCGGCCAGAGCTGGAAAAGGCCTGGACCTAGGAAAGGGGAGGGATGGAGGAGGGRGACGATGGCCCCATGCTTGTGCTTAAGGGTTTCCCCATCATGAACCCTCACCTCATAAGCCAGTCCTCCGAGTTCCTTCTCTTTCCTCACACCCTTACCTTGAAGGCCAGGCTGCCATTGGCAAAAGCCCCGCTAGGGTCGTTCACAGGGTGGCCTTGGAATGTGGCACTCAGGCTGGCAGGATCCAGGGAGTCCGTGATGTTGTTCCAGGAGAACTCGGCCAAGGAGTACGGAGGGTACGGTTTTCCCAGGGGCTCTGCCGCCACATCCAACATGTTGGTGCCGTCGAACTCCAGCAGCTGGGGGTGGGTGGTGGAGCTGGGTTCGCCACAGTCTAGCTTTCTCCCAAGTCACCTGTCCCACTCCATACCCACCCCCAAGCTCCCATGGCAGAGCCTGTCCCCAGTCCTCAACCCCTCCCTCTAGTTGGGAGGAGCCCCTCCTCTGTGCCCTTCGCCTCGGTCCCCCCCACCTCCTCACCCTGGTGAAGATAAGGGCAGAAGAAAACTGGACGCTGTCCTCCGGGAGAACCTTCAGGCCCTCATMAGGATCAGGGGACAGCAGGCGACTCCAGTTGACTTTAAGGACACTGTGGGGGGTGTCGGTGGCCACCAGCACCACGGCTGGAGGCCCGAGGCTGCTCCACACATAGTGCAGGGTGGAGTTGGGGCCCACTGCCCGGATGTGAAGCAGGCTCTGGGGGAGGCCTGGCCAGCCGGGGATGACCTCCAGGGACACCTGGAAATTGGAGGAGGGGAGGGTGGAGGGGACAGATCCGGGAGAGACACAGGCAAAGACCAACCTGAGGGAGGGGAGAGGGGCTTGGAGGACAATTGGGGAAATCCCAGCCAGTGAGAGCCTAGGAGAGGAATGGACGTGAGCCCAGGGAACCGTGGGGTGAGGGCAGAGCAGGATGAGCCAGACCCGACGGGAGCAGGGCAGGGCCCAGCCCAGAGGAATACAGAAATCCCACACTTCCTGGACCTGGGCTGAGTCGGGGTCCACTCAGAGCAGGGAGTCGTCCTCCTCTCCACCCACTCCACAGTCCTTCCCCTTGAGCCAGGGATGCCCCCACCTCCTCCAGGCTCAAAAACACTCCTCTCTGCAGTCACCCTCCACCCCTTGGGTGCCCCACACTCCAGCCACCCTGGAAAGGCAGCATTTCCTGACACCTCCAAGGCTCTAGTCCCCAAGTCCTCACCTGGCGGGTCTCCCCTCCCAGAAGGCCAAGCGGAGCTGTGCACAGGAGACTCAAGAGAAGCAGGGAGCTGGGGGCATGGGGACCCCAACCCCAGTGGGGCTCCCCACAGCCGCACATGCAGGTGGCAGCAAATTCAGTTGGTGGAAGACACTGGAGAGTCATGTGACTCGGATTCAGCTGATCCCTTTAGAGGGTGGGGCCGGCTGCTGCACCAGTTCTTAAAGGGACCGCCTCCCTTAACCCAGATTCCAGCTGCGTTGGAACAGAATCAGAGAAAACATCATCCCYAAATGGAGTCGGCAAGCACAACATTCCAGGTCATGTGTGCAGACGCATTCCTAGCCTCTCCCACCCGGTCAGTCCCACTCAACAGTTATTTGTAATAAGCATGATGTCTGGATTCAAGACACAAAAGGGATCTGAATAATGACTATGGTAGAAAGGTCCAGAGAAGAACCCAGAGGGTTTTTTTCAACCTAATATTTATTGAACACTGAGGTATGCATCCTGGAAGAATTCACAATTGTATTGAGAAGACACCTGAAGAAAGAAGATAGGAAAGCAATACATTTATTGGTCAAGAGGGAAACCACACCTGGCCAAATGCATGCTTTTTTATGTTTTTGCTTAATTTTAAATCATTATTTATTTATTCATTTATGGGTATGGGTGCACTTGACCACTGAGCCACATCCCAAGCCCTTTTTATATTTTATTTTGAGRCATGATCCTGCTAAATTCCTTAGGGCCTCACTAAGTTGCTGAGGCTGGCTTTAAACTTGCCATCCTCCTGCCTCAGCCTCCCCAGCTGCTGGATTATGGGTGTGCGCCACCGTGCCCAGCAATCTTGAGTTATTTTGATTAATAAATGCACATAGTACAAAATTTGAAAGATACAGTAAACTGGAGCCTACTGAGACAATCACCACTCACCATTCCCAGTTTGTCTTTCCCTCCCACCATCCCCCCTTCCCTTCTTATTCTTCCTCTCTCTCTCCTTGTTTCTGTGTTTCTGGAGATTTCTTTCTGTGCTTTGGGAGATGGATCTCAAGGGCTTGTACATGCTAGATACCTGCTTTACCACTAAAGTACATACCCAGTGCCCCCCCCCTTTTGGGGGTGTACTGGGAATTGAACTCAGGAGCACTCAACCACTGAGCCACATCCTCAGCCCAATTTTGTTTTCTTTTCTTTCTTTTTTTTTTTTTTTTTTTGCGGGGGTGGGGGTGCTGGGGATGAACTCAGGGGCTCTGGGTGGGGGTGCTGGGGATGAACTCAGGGGCTCTCAACCACTGAGCCACATCCCCAGCCCTATTTTATATTTTACTTAGAGACAGGGTCTCACTGAGTTGCTTAGCACCTCGCCATTGCTGAGGCTGGCTGTGAACTCGAGATATTCCTCTCTCAGCCTTCTGAGCTGCTGGAATTASAGGCGTGTGCCACTGCATCTGGCCTATACCTGATAGACTCAACCTGATCTTTTATTAAAATTGGGAGCCATCTCGCCACAAAGCCATGAAAAGCTAATTTCGGCTTTACTATAAATTACTGCAAATTCTGAACCTGCTTGGAATGCCTGCCCATGCCTTGAATTCAACCATGCATGGTTCTCTGACCAGATAGCAGCCCTCTCTGAAACTTTAATGACACCTCATAAATATTGGCCTTCCCTGGCCAGACAACGACCCTCTCTGAGGCTCTAATGGTCCTCATAAATTCTGATGTTGGGGCCAGCAAAAAAAATTGTAAACTACCATTAGTGTGATGCTTGTCAGAGTTCTGTTATCTGTTACCCCCTTTTGTGTAACTTTCTGGGCTATAAAGCTGGGCTGTAGGAAAGGTGGGGCTGCTGTCTTGTTCCCACCGTTTTGGGAGGAAAAGGCAGCCCGGCCGGTCGAAATAATAAGCTTGCTTTAATTTGATTTTAATTGGAGTCAGTGGTCTTTTCTTGCGTCCTGGTCTAACATACCCATCCCTTTTAATATTCTATTTTGACCTGGGCGCAGTGAAACACTTCTGTAATCTAGAAATGTGGGAGATTAAGGTGGGAGAACCACAAGTTTGAGATCAGATTGGATAATTTAACAAGACCTTGTCTCAAAATAAAAAGGGCTGGAAATGTAGCTCAGTGGTAGAATGCCCATGGCCTTAATCCCTGGTACCACTAAACATAAATATCTTTTTTTGTATGTGTGGTATTGGGGATTGAACTCGGGGGCTCAGCCACTGAACCACATCCCCAGCCTTATTTTGTGTTTTATTTAGAGACACGATCTCACTGAGCTGCTTAGCAGCACACCATTCCTGAGGCTGGCTTTGAACTTGCAGTCCTTCTGTCTCAGCCTCCCTAGTGAGTTGCAATGAATTACAGGCATGAGCCACGGTGCCCGCCCAAAAATCTTATTTTGATATAGGGGCATCTTGCTGAACTGCACAGGCTGACATTGAATTTGTGACCCCATCTCAGAGATTGCAGGAGATGTCACTCCATCTGGCACCAGTATTTCCCCCTAACCCCTGCAGTATTTGGAATTGAATCCAGAACTGTGCACATCCTAGGTAAATGATCTACCACCGAGCTACACCCTCAGCTCTTTTACATTTTGAGACGGAATCTCCCTAAATTTCCCAGGCTGGCCTTGAATTTGCAATCCTCCTGCCTTTGCCTCTCAGATAGTTGACATTGCAGGCATCTGTCACACCCAGTCATTACCAGTTTCTTATGCATTATTCTATGTATACTAAAGAATATGTGTTGAGCATGCTGGGTTCGGTGGTGCATGCCTGTAATCCCAGCAATTTGGGAGGCTGAGGCAGGAGGATCATAAATTCAAGGTCAGTCTCAGCAATTTAGGGAGGCCCTAAGCAATTTAGCAAGACTCTATCTCAAAATAAAATGTAAAAAGGACTGGGGATGTGCTCAGTGGTTAAACACCTCTGGGTTTAATCCCTAGTATTGTAAAATAATAATAATACCATCATACAATAACATCCAAACACTGTTTAATTTTCCACTTGAGAACTAGTCATATCAATGATTTGGAATTGTCTCATTTTCTTTGGCGATTACACATATGCACAACTTTTAATTTTTAAAAAGTTTTGGTAGTACTGGGGGAATTAAACCCAGGGGTATTTTACCACTAAGTTACAGCCTCAACTCTATTCTTTTTTTTTTTTTTTGAAAGACAGGGCCTAAGTTGCTGAGGCTGGTTTCAAGCTTGTGATTCTCTGCCTGAATCTCCCGAGTTTCTGGGATTAGACATGCACCACCATGCCTGGCATATTCCCTGGATATAATATTTAATCAGAACCTTGTTGAGGTAATATTTGCTCTGGCAAACAATGCTGGAAGAGATATTCCCATACATACATTTCATACATTCATAACCAGTGGCACAGGTAAGTACCTAGGCTAGGTCAAATTGCCTTGTAAGTAGTTTATTCACATTCACACCATGTGCTTGAGGGTCCATTTCCACATGTGTTTACCAAATCAGGTTTTTATTACCRTTACAGATCTCCTCATGTTTTAGTCATTATTTTTCACCCCACCCCCCAGCTATTTATACCCTTTGCCCATTTTTTTTTTTTTTTGGTACCAGGGATTGAACCCAGGGGTGCTTAACCACTGACCCACATCCCCAGCCCTTTTTAATATTTTATTTAGAGACAGGATTTCACTGAATTGCTTAGGGCCTCACCAAGTTGCTGAGGCTGGCTTTGAACTTGCAATCCTCCTGCCTCAGMCTCCCTAGCCTTTGGGATTACAGGTATGTGCCACTACGCCACCACACCTGCTCCCTTTGCCTATTTTGCCTACTGCATGCTTAAATAAGAAAGCACTCTCTTCTGAGGTACAACCCCAGCCTCATTTATTTATTGGTACTGAAGATTTAACCCCAGGGGTGATTTACCACTGAGTTACATCCCCAATGCCCCCTTTTCCCCCACATTTAAATTTTTTTWWAAAAAATTTAGTTTTAGATGGACACAATGCCTTTATTTTATTAATTTTTATGTGGTGCTGAGGACCACATAAAAATTAATAAAACAAAATAAAGTGCCTCCCCGTGTGATAGGCAAGCACTCTACCACTGAGCCACAAATCCAGCCCTCCACATTTTCTATGGGTGTAGAGTGATGGGATTTGTYACATAGTCATAGATGCAGTCAACACAATCTAATTTGGCCGGTGTAACTCCCCKGCACTCCTCTTCCTCCCTGCCTCCCAACCTTGGTTCCTCTCCTGATTTCACTTTGATTTTCATGGGCTCCCACCCCTCCACTTTTCTTTTCCTTTTTTCTCTTTCTAGCTTCCTCATAGATGAAAACAAAAGAMCCTTGACTTTCTAAGTTTGAGTTATTTCACTTAATGTGTCTAGTTCTACCCATTTTCCTGAAAATGACATGATTTTATTTCTCTTAAATTAAAAAAAAAATCCATTGTGTATATATACTCTCCATTGTGTCTAGACACCTTATCCATTCATCCACTGATGGGACCCTTAGGCTGGCTCCAGTTGGCTATTGTGAACTGTGTTACTACAGACATGGGTATGCATGTGACACTGTAGTCCGAAGATTTTAATTATTTAGGTAAATACTGAGGAGTGTTACAGCTGGGTCATGTGGTGTTTCCATGCCTAGTCTTTTGAGGAGTCTCCTTACTGATTTCCATAGTGGTTGTACTAATTTACAATCACACTAACAATGGAAGACTGTTCCTTTTTCTCCACATCCTCTCCAATATTTATTTTTTTGTACCAGGGATTGAACCCAGCGGTGTTTACCCACTGAGCTACATCAGTCCCCCCTTTTTAAAATTCTTATTTTTGGTACTGGGGATCAAACCCAGGGGCACTCAATCACTGAGCTGCATCCACATCCCCCCCCCTTTTTTTTCCATTTTTAGTCAGGGTTTTGCCAAATTGCTGAGGCTGACTTGCAATCCTGCCTCAGTTTCCCAAGCGGCTGGAATTATACAGGTGTGCCACCATGCCTGGTCTATTATTTGTAATTTTTTCAAATATTTATTTTTTAGTTGTACACAATACCTTTATTTTGTTAATTTATTTTTATGTGGTGCTGAGGATCGAACCCAGGGCCTCACACGTGCTAGAGGAGCACTCTACCGCTGAGCCACAACCCCAGC